CCTCAAAAACTACGGCTTCATCGGTATGGGGCATTATGAAGGGCTCACTACTGGCTGGCCGGCCGCCATCCGATAGTGACACGGTCCGGGAGAACGCCCGCTTCCACCATCCTATTGATCTTCGCCTCCTCGATGACCGACGGCACCCACTTGTCGCAGCTGGCTCTAGCGGTCGCCTTCTTCGGGTTTCCAGCTCCCTTCTTCGGCGCCATCTCTCAGATCTGTTTTAGGATTAGCGGTGGCAGCGCGTGTGAATCTAGAAGCGCGAGGGTTGAGGAGGAAGATGAAATGGCAAAGTGGCAAAGGTGGGAGTGTGGGGTGTGGCGGCGTAGTTATATAGCACTCCCCTACCTTTCGCATTCGAGGGTTTTTGGGAAACTGCTCCGCAATTTGCTCCGCTACGAATTCTCCGAAATGGCGTGGTGGGCCGTTACCTGGGCTTTCGTGCAACTACACCCCGCATCGCCCATTTATCGCCGCAAGTTATTACTGCTCACCGAATATTCGCCGACTTCTCCGCCATCTGTTACGGCTCAGTAATTACTACTGTACAGTCGTTACTCTGGTTTTTTCTCCGCGATTTGTTTTCTCTAAGATTTCCACTTGTGGCTCGGGAACTGCCTCCTCAACACGACGTGGCTCCTCATCGCACTAGGGACTTTCTTCTGTCGACTGCTGGCTCTAATCCTGGCACCACGAGACCACGCCACATACTGTCAGGCTCAGGGACTAAGTGGGCACATTTCACCTTGCGGTGAATGTGTTTTTTCATTTTAGGGCTGCACCTGGGGACTGGCTGCCTGCTCGGCTGGTTTAGTGTTTTTCTTTACTTTGGACCCTGGCACCACGTGACTACGTCACCTACTGTCAGGCTCGGGGACTAAGTGGGCACACTTCACCTTGCGGTGAGTGTGTTTGCTTTAATCTGGAAGACTCCGCGCCTCTTAAAGCTGAAGAAGACTGTCTCCCTTTCTTGTGGTCGGACTCTAAGTGGGCACACTTTATCCACTGCGAAGAAATTTTTGATTCTGAACTTGAGCTCCTTACATCCTTATGGCAAGCCATGCTTGGGTTACACTGCTCAGCGGCGGTTCACGCTGCTCGACGACGGTTCACGCTACTCGGCGACGGTTCACACTGCTCGACGACGGTTCATGCTGCTCGGCGATGGTTCACGCTGCTCGGCGATGGCTCACAACTGCTCGGCAACTCATCACGGTGGTCGGACCATGACTTTGACTGCTCGGCTTTGTTCGCACCTGCTCGGACAAGCTCAAGACGGAGTTGCACAACGGATACAAGGCGCTCGGGGATTAGCTCGGACAAGCTCAAGACGGAGTTGCACAACGGATACAAGACGAAGCCTTACGGGGCACGACGCTGCTCGACGCCTCCCGCAAGACACCGGGAAGATATCCTAAAGATACTACGAGATATGTTAGGATATGTATGATCCCATGATTCCTGTAATCTGTTATTACTTTTCGGTTGTCTCCTAGATCTAACCGACTTGTAACCCTAACCCCGGACTATATAAGGCGGGCAGGGACCCCCTCCAAACTCACGCAATATCATACGATAGCCAATACAATCCAACAGACCACAGGAGTAGGGTATTATGTCATACTGATGGCCTGAACCTATCTAACTCGTGTGTCTCTGTTGTCTTCTTGTTCTCAATTACACGCATCTCTGCCGATCAATCTACCTTCGTGAGATATCCCTCGGAGGAATGCCGACGATATTCTGTCGACATGATTTATGAGGGGTACCGTGCTCACCCCACGGAAGCCACGAAGAGCAACACTGGTAGAGCTTGTCATTGAGCTACTCTCATTGTGGGTAGGTTCTTGCGGCGCCCAACGTGTGGGCTAGGCTTGTGAACGCCTATTAGCCATCGAACCACCAAGTGTGCAGTCGACACAACGGGGACAAGTTTGGTGGCAACCAAGTGAATCTCAGGATAAAAATCACCATGTCATCATCTTCCCGTTGTTTTGCAATCCCCATACACAAACTTGTATTTACTTTCATATATATTGTGCTTGTATAGTTGCTCTTATAATTAGTTAGCTTGTGTAGCTTGCTAGTTACCTTCTTGCTTGTGTAGCATAGAAGTAGCTCCCTTGTATAACCAATTGGTTTGAGTAATCTTGTTAATCACATTGCTTAGTTTGTGTAGCTAAATAATTTGAGCTCTATAATTTGGCTTTGTGTAGCCTTTGTTATTGAGAATTGCTAGTGAGCTTATGAGCTTTATATTTTTGCTTACTAGTTTGTGTAGGAACTCTCCCGGTGCTTAAAATACTAGTTGCTTAGATTTGTGTGACCGTACTCCTAGAATTGTTTAGTTGATCTTTAGCTAGCCCGGCACCTTAGTTACTTAATTAGGATCCTTTTAAGGTATTTGAGAACTTAGATAGAGGGGTGTAGTCTTCGCTAGACCGATAGATTTAATTCCGCATTTGTTTCGGTTAACCAGCACGATTAATTTTAGAAATGACTATTCATCCCCTCTAGTTCATCATCTCGACCCTACAGCAGTCACAATATGAAAATATTGACTCCGAGAGGTAATATTGTAGTTAATGGTGGATGAACTTATTAACCTAGTTGACAGTCATTTGGGACCAATAACTAATTAGATCACTGTTCTGGTCTGTGGATGCGAACCGAATCCTCCAAATACCGCTTGCTCCTGGGCGGGAGGATCTGATCGCATGACAGTTTGTTTTCAGTAAAATCTGCCGATCACTGTCAGTGGAGTCATAGCTTTGGGAATTATATCCAGCAACCGGGGGCAAGCGGAATGGGGGCGGCGTCAGTATGGAGACAGCTTTGGAGTCTATCGCTACCGAGCAAAATCAAAATCTTTGGATGGCGTGTGCTTCACCGTTGCATTCCGTGCTTTGTTACTTTGGCTAACAAGCATATTATGACTTCAGGAACTTGCCCGATGTGCCAATCAGAAGTTGAGGACGTGAGACATGCGATGTTTGCCTGTTCTCGTGCTAAACAGGTTTGGAGGGCACTTGGGATTGAGCAGGAGATCGAATCGCTCCTGGCAGTAGACAGATCGGGCTCTGTCGTGATTCAAGAAGCCATCGGTCGGGGTGTCGACGAGCTATGCGTTGGAACAATATTGGTCTAGCGGAACTTATTTTGACAGGGTAACGAAGACAAACTGTCCATGGAGAGGACATCCAGTCACCACCACGGTCATCTGTGTCCATTGCCGCGATCACAGCGAATTATAAACTGACTTCAAAGAAAACCACTGAGATAAACAAGGGGTGGAGGAAACCCTCTGAAGGTATATTGATGATTAATGTCGACGCAGGTTTTGATGAAACTAAAGGAGCGGGTAGCACAGGAGCGGTCGTTAGAGACTCCACGGGTGGATTTATTGCTGCTTCACATATTTATATCCCGCATGTGGTGGACGCAGCCAATTAGATTGTATGGAAGTCGTCACAACAAAGGGGAAGGTTTTTCAGCCACGGCAGCTGGAGCAATCTATGATGAATGCTATCAATATTGAAAAGCTTTTCATTCTATTTTCATTAGTCATTGTAGTAGGGATTGTAATGTCGTGCCTCATGAGCTAGCTAGGCAAGCTTTGATGATAGACAAAAATTCTTTTGTTTGGATAGATGAACCCCTACATCTATTCGGCAACTGCTTGTATATGATGTAGCTATTTTGAATCAATAAAGCTTGCTCCGAGAATTTAAAAAAAAAAGCATTCCCAGGGGGGGGCACCATGTTGCTCGCAAATGGGATAATTAACTTTTTACCATTATAATGGATGGCGCCTACTCAAATAGCAGCTTTAGGTTTAACGCTACGCTTTTAGCAGCAGAGAGAGAAAAACGATACATATTTACCACTTGTGCTTGCGTGGCACGCCAGCTCCGCTGTCAAGCTCGGATCCGAGTCAGCAGGCTTAGGTAAAATGACCGCCCCTACCCCTGGCTTCTCCCTCCCCCATTTCAAACATACGGGCCCCACAAGTCATATTCTTCTTCAACCTCCGGCCATCACCACACAGCGAGGAAGGGGAGGAGCTCGTGCAGTCCATGGGCAGCTAGCCAGTCAGGCACGAAATCGAAGCGTTCCAATTCAAATCCCCTTCTTGGCTGGCTGGTCTCCGAAATCGTTTTCGCTGCAAAAGCAAAAGGATTTATTTACTACGCCTTTCTAGATTTCCTGAGCTGAGCGCTTGACGACGAGGCCGGAGGCACGGTGGCGGAGCCGCTGGTGCACAAGGTGCTCTCCATGGGGACAACGTCGCCAAGGGCGGCGCCGAGGCGGCGGCCGTGGGCGATGGCAGGGTGGGCATACTGTCCTTTGAGGTGGTCAACGCCATGTCGCGCGCGGCGAACCTCTACCGCTCCCTCTCCGACGTGGAGGAGGCGCGCCTGCTTGGCCCGCTCTGCCTCGGCTCCCACGCCGTGCGCGCGCTTGTGCCCGGCGACGATGCGCGCCTCCTCGCGCTCGCGCTCGCCGAGCACAAGTGGTAAATATGTATCGTTTCTCTCTCTCGCTGTTAAAAGCGTAGCGCCAAAGCTAAAGCTGCTATTCGAGGAGACGCATCCGTTATAATGGTAAAAAGTTAATTATCCCTCGCAAATGGAGCTAGAAGGAGGAAGTTCTCATCTCTCTCCTTAAATGGCGGCTGAAATAGTGAAATGGTACCCGAAATAGAGAAACGAGTGGAGGAAGCGGGCAACGCCAATCTTCCGTGCATGCAGCGAACGGTTCGTCGTCATCATTCATCAGTTTCAATTCGAGGAAAAGAAAAAAAATTAATGGCAAACCAAGAGATTTGGAATGTGTCCGCCTAATCCCGATCTCATTCTCTCCATTGCAACTTGACGGCCTTATCATCCGGCGACAGCGACGACCCATCCCAGTTGGATCGATTGAATCCAGTTGAAGCTAAGCCTCCATTCACACGTTGATCTGAGGCCAGCCGATCAGCGGGCGGCGGCGGCGACATGGCGCGGTCGAGCGCGGACGACATGGAGCTGAAGCGCGGGTGCGAAGCCGGGATCCTCGCCAAGGGGGACCGGGACAAGGTGGTGATGTGCATGCGCGTCGCCAAGAGCCGCGGCGGCGGCGGCGGCTGGGCCAAGGGCAAGCTCACCTCCCGCCACAATATGGCCAAGCCCCGCGTCCTCGCCGTCACCGGTCAGTATGCATCCCCCCTCCCCGCTTCTAATCCATGCATGCACGTTCCGAACCATGATGATGATGACATGCTCATCCACTCGTGCGTGGCGCAGCCAAGGTCAAAGGGCACAAGACCAAGTCGTTCCTGCGGGTGCTCAAGTACTCCAATGGCGGCGTCCTTGAGGTGCGTGTAATCTTCCTCCAGCTGTCTCTTTTTTGTTTGTTTGTTGTTCTTCCCCAGATTGATTGTTTCGCCAGAATGGAAAATTATTGTAAAGATGGATGATATATCACATTCTGATTGCCCATGCATGTATCAGCCGGCAAAAGTGTACAAGATCAAGCATCTGCACAAGATAGAGGTCGCCCAAAACGATCCCAGCGGCTGTACCTTCGTCTTGGTATGCATGCCACTTCCCCGTTCTCCGATCCAGAATAAATACCAGAAGATCAATGGATCCAGAGAATTTGACGGTGGCCCAGATTTCAACTTTAGAGTTGTAAACAACTGGTTAAAATTAAATTGCATTTGGTTTCTAAGGGAAGCAGCATATATATATATATATATATATATATATATATATATATATATATATATATATATATATATATATTCCATTACATATATTCTTTCCTTGTCATGACAAATCGACTGTTGTGCTTTCTCGAAATTAACTGTTGTTCAGGGGTTTGACAACCTGAGAAGCCAGAGTGTCGCACCTCCACAATGGACCATGCGCAACAAAGAGGACAGGTGACCGACGCATCAGCATCACGATTCCTAGCCCATCCTGCTCCTGCATGTGACCTCAGTTCAAGGTTGTACACCCTGTTTATCTGTTGCAGGAACCGCCTGCTGATGTGCATCCTCAACATGTGCAAAGAGCACTTGGGAAGCATCCCCAAAGTCGTCGGCATGGACGTCGTTGAGATGGCTATCTGGGCAAAGGTATCATGTCTCTTGCTTAATTAGGCGTTGCCGATACATGTCTTTCTTTTGGTTTACAATGACCAAGCTGGTTCTGAATGTGTGCAATGGTTCGTAGTCTATATTTGGTCACTGTCTCACTGATAAGGTATCATATACTTCAATGACGGTAAAAGCTTGGCAAGGTGATTGCATAATAATCAATTATTCCCAAAGCAATATAATGGCAAAAATGTATCAAATATTATTCTCACATGATATTATGGTTGTCGCACTCACACTCTCATTCTCCTGTGTGGAACACGAGTGATGATGATGGAAAACCATGCACCATCGCTCAACCTATCTTCTATGGTTATGCTCTGCCCTTAATTTTAATTATAGCTTAGATGAGATAACACTAATTTATTCCCACATGTGAAAATTAGTTTAAGTTTTACTTTAATCCACAGGTGCTCACAAGCACTCACACAACACCTTTGGCTGAAGATAGAAGAAGAGAGGGTGAGCAGAGAGCACACACACAAGGAAAGTGTTGCTGCACTTTTCTGCTACCGCACTAGTGTTGCTGCTGTGCTTTTCACAACAAAAGTCTTCCCCACCTTATTCTTCACACCTTATTTTCCATTTCCATTTCCATTTCCGTTTCCCAATCCCACCTGGCCACCTCTCGTAGCCCATTTGCCAAACGCCACCAAAGTCCTCCCCGTAGCTCCGCTATAGAATGCCATGGCACCCTGCACCACGCACCCTCGCGCGTCCGTGAGTGCCGGGTTACGGCACATCTTCTGGCCGCATGACACCCTCCCCTCCGACGCCGAACAGTGTGGCGGCGATGGTGGAGTGGCACCTAAGTGGGACAGCGGTGGCGGTGGTGATTGTTCCGGGAGGATGCCGCCCGTAGCCATGGTGGAGCAGGGAAAGGGAAACGTAGACGGTGGCGTCAGTCGTGTTGTGCGTGTGCCAGCGGAGCTTCAGCTGCCTGGGGCTGTCATTGTGGCCGCGGCTTGGGTCGCGGGGCCGCCAGTGACCTCGATATTGGAGGCAGCATTCCTGTAGTGCAATGCCATGGTTGCTGGAAGGTGTTTGATGAAATGCTTCATACAAAGAATTTTTGTATTGGGCCAGTCAAAGTCTGTCGTCCTTGTCATAGTGGCACTTTCAACTGTGGTGTGCAAAACATTACCAGCAGATTTGCAATTAGTCGTCCTTTTTCCTTGTCACATTTTCTGCATCTGTAATGCATAAAGACATGTACTAGATTGTCCACTTGAGGTTAAAATTACTAGACTGTGATCTACATGTTTGAGTACCTTATGTGTGTCTCTGCATATATGTACTTTTGCTTTTGACTGTTGATTCTACAAGCACCGACAAAAGGATTGTTAGCATTCTATAATTTAGGAGAACACTCCAGCAAAGGATTGTAGCATTTGTATATAAGATTGTACTATGTTTTGCTGTAACAATGAATTGAATTTCAGAACACTCAAGCAAAGGTTACACAAGTGAGCAGTAAAGATGGGCCTGTGGAATCACTAGTATTAGAGGCTGAATCGCATGTTATCGTTGAGAAGGACCTGGTTTCTCAGGCAGAAGAGGAGGAGATTGAGACTCTTCTTGGCAAGTAAGTTACCTGAATCCGATCTAAACAACTTCAGATATCTCCTTGGCAGTTGGCATGCCACCTTCTGTGCTTGCAGATCCTGATTATTCAGTTTATCTATCTTGTGCCAAACTGCCAATTGATTGGATATGCTGGACTCCTGGACTAATACCTTAACATGCTCCACGTCTCATACCAAAATTGCAGTGAAAATGTCATAATTGCCATTGTGTGCCTCTAACGTTTTGGCATGAGTGCAAATGGATTCTTTATGTGTCTATGGTATACCTTTTGCTTGACAATATAACTGATGCACCTAACTCTTTTTTTCCCAGTTATGTTATGGCCATTGGTGAAGCAGAGGCTTTTTCAGAAAGGATGAAGCGCGAACTTGTAGCTCTAGAATCTGCAAATGTTTATGCCCTAATGGAAACTGAATCTGTTGTCGAAGAGGTATGCACTCTTCTTAACATTTTTAGACTAAGGAATATAAAATTTCGGCCTTCAACATCCACGAATGAATGTGTCCAATCATTCAATACATACACATAGTACTTAGACCACACTTTACCACAAAGTAAAGTTTAAGACACAAGACTAAGATACTAGACTTAAGCCTTGATCCTATTCTGATTTCACCAGCCCATTTGTTGAGCAATTCCAGCATCGAAGTATTCAATAATCAACCACAGTCTGCCTCTAGAGACGCACAGTGCATCTGAACAAACTCAACGCTCAACTAGGAAGAGCTTTGGCAGGCCCCTTATCCTCATCCAAACTATTCCTCCTTCCAGCGTCCAAAAACGAGAGCCTCACACCGATCTGTTAACACCACCTAGCGGGTCAGGAGATAAGCAGGAAGGACGCTAGTGCTTGCGATGAAGGCCCTTAAATCCGTGAATCGGCACCTCACCTAGATTATCTCGCCCATTGGGGGTCGGTCACCGTTGAGCTAAGAAGGACGGCAAGTGCCTTCGACGTAGGCCCTTAAGTCCCTGAATAGGCGCCTTACCCAACTTATCTTGCCCATTGGTGGTCGGTCACCGGTGAGCTACGGCTACTGTTGTCGCCCATACGCCCTCGACCCTCCATCTCTACTTTCGTGTCTTCAGCGTGGGATCCCCTGGGCGGTGCCTCAAGGAGGGATACAACGCCTAGCGCCGCCACCCGCCTATGCTCTAGGTGGAGTTTCCCCTAGAGATTTACCACGGTTTGAGAATGGACGCCCCAACGATGGTTCCAATGAAGATAGTCGCACCGTAAGGTGTCACCATAGTTGGCTCCAACCAGAGCTAGCTGAGGCTTTCGCCCAGGTCAACCCACCCCAACCCCACAAAAGATACCACAAATGGACTAATGGATGGTGCGGCAGTGCTGGTGGCTAGGTCCCTTTGCTGCCTGAGCGGGCGATGCGGGATCACCCCCTGCACAAGATGCTGGAGCCGTGCCCCATCATCCGGAGGCCACCGCCGAAGCAGGCAACACGGATTAGCACCCCTTTAGCCGCCTCACGCCACCGTTGCCAAGGCAAGCCACGTTCAGATTAATGAGCAAGGTGAAAACTCCTGTTACATTCACAGGGTTCCGAGCGGGTGCGTTTCCCGACCGTCGCCGCTGTCAAACGGCGCCACAGGCCTGGATCTGACCGCCAACCGCTAGCCCAACACAGGGTTTGTGCACATTGCCAGATCCACCCGCATGTCACGAGCACCTCGCCGTCGTGCCCGCAACACGGAGAAGAGGCCTGTTAGGTTTCAACACTGCAGGATCATGATTTACCTTATATGTTGAAATATATTGAAAAAATGAATTCATTACCAACCATATGCCAAAACTATTTCGTTTCGGTAGGTTCCATTGAGTGCCTGTTATCTCATCCTTAAATATTTGACTGGTTATATACAACTATTTTATTCTCAATGGTAATTCCAATAAATTTAAAAAATCTGTATTCTTTTCCTGCAGGTATTGCAGGGTCTAGAAATAGCCAGTATATGTGTTGAAGATATGGATGAATGGCTAGGGATTTTCAATATAAAGCTCAGGCATATGAGGGAGGATATACAATCTGTATGCTTACTTTCACCTTTACTAATGTATATGCGCAAATTATATTTCCTTAGGGTTGTTGTGATTAAAATTATTTTCCCCTTTAATGCCTGATACATTTGAAACCGAACTCTAGGGTTGTCTGAGGGAAAGAAGCCCAATAAGAGCTTAATGTAACTAATTTGAATTGCTTGTCACAGGCTTACAGCTTATAGTGCATCTTGGCTGTTCAAATTTACACTTAGTGTTGTCTCTACTGAAGACATTAGGGCAATCTCCTACCATATTCATATTAATTGTTTAAAAAATGAACATATGTACAAGATGAAGTTGCAGGATCATTGATAAATATTCATTTATGACCTGCGATGGATGTTACCCTTCACATTTATATCAAGTAATTAGAAACTTATAATTCCAGTTTATAGTGAACTTCAAGGTTGTAGAAGATGATAATGCAACACACAAGTCCAATTGTAATGTGGCCTTTGTAATCTGTGCAGCAGTGTTATCTTTTTTTCTTTTTGGTAATAATGCAGTAACGGAGCTAAAAGAATTTCCCACCTCCTTGCCTTTGTGCTGGATGGGGAACAGTAGCAGGCTTACGATTGGCTGGATCGTGTTTGTCGTTTGTCATCGGCGATCTGTGCAACCTTTTGTAAACTAAACTGAACTGTTTTTGTTTTCCTGTAATGTGTGTTTGTAAGGGTTGTCGCCTTCTTAATGCAAAGAAATGCAGCTCTTCTGCGTTTTCGAGAAAAAAAAGGAAGCAAGGTCAAGAAACCTGCAAGAGAGTTAGTAGAGGTGTTTGTAGGCAACATTTGTTCTGTCGTTGTGTAATTTTGGATCTTCTTTCTCTGTGAGGGCATTCGTTCTATGTTATCTAATAGGTAAATAATATGCACCATCTGTCAGAAACAGAATTCAAACTACCATAAACTGTTTCACTAACCAGATCTATCTACGTGTCTGATCATGCCGAAGCTCCCCAAAACTATTCCATTAAAATGTACGAGTTCATGCATGAACTGACAGTAGACATATATACCTTATGGTTTTGCAGATAGAATGGCGTAATAACAGACTGGAGTTGCAATCTGATAGTAATGTGGCTTTGATTGATGAGGTTGACAAATTGCTTGTGCTGCTGCAGATTCCACCTGAGGTGTGCATTCTATTGACCTATTAATTCCTTTTTCCTGTATTAATATTTATGCTACAATAGTACCGAAATTCCTGATGCTATTGATCATACTGCAGTATGAGGCATCATTAACTGGAGGATCATTTGATGAAGGAAATATGGTTAAGAACATTGAAGCCTGTGACTGGTTAACCAGTGCTATAAAGAACCTAGAAGCATCCAACATAGACCCAATCTATGTAAAATTGCGTGCTGTAGGTCCTCTCCCTTGGTACAATTAGCATTTCTTTTCCTATTGAAGGTTTACATGCCTGAGATTTTCGTTTAGTATTGCAAATCAGTGGATATTAACTTAATCCTTATTATATATGTATTAGTATGTTGCTCCTGTAGCATTTGAAGGACTTTTGGGGATATTGAAAGATAAAAATATTGATCAGAGAAAAGAAGAAAAATTCCCGAGACAATTAAATTTATTTCATATGGAAGGTTAGAATAATTTCCGTTTAATTAAATACATCTTGAAAAAGGATGCCAGCTAAAGTGGTTTTACTTAAATAATGTTGAACTTTGATTCAAGCCGAATCCAGAAGTCAAATGTCTATTGCCTTCTTTTCTTTCTATTCTTCTTGAAATTTGGGTTCCCACTCATGATGATACGGTATTGAAATGGAAATCTGGATTATGGCTATAATGTTATGGATAATGCACAGCTTTTACGTAATTCTTTTGTGTTATTTTAAAAAAAAATGTGGCTTAACTAATTTGCATCTGATTTGCAAAAATATACAGGTTAGGGAAAAACGTGCAGAATTTGTACTTCTTAAGTGCACCTTCGTTCGGAGGGCATCAGAATTTTTAAGGAATTACTTTCCTAGTTTGATTGATTCTATGCTAAATGACAAAGGAAACTTCTCTCAGGTAAATCTGGCTTCAATAGCTGTAATATTGAAGTGTAGGATAAAATCAGGATCTTTGTTATCACACTCCTAAACACTTGCAGCGAGGTCAGCTGCAGAGGCCTGATCACGCTGATATGAGGTACAAATGCAGGACTTATGCACGGCTTCTACAACACATCAAGGTTTTTGCATAATAACTCGATGTGAAAGTTTTCCTACTGATAACGAGGAACAAGTGGCTTTTAGCTAGTAAAATTTGGTGCATTCTAATGCCCTCTTTATACTCTGTTTTCAAGAGTTTGGACAAGAGTTGTATGATGCCTTTGCGGAAAGCTTACTGCCATTCACTGAACGTGCTAATTCGACGTGAGGTGGGGTTCTATGAGTACTTTTTTTTTTAATTTTCTCTTCAATACTGAAAGTTAATCAAAATTATTGACTTCTGCTTAGTATACATCATTAAATTTTCTAAGAAATTCTAGGACTCTAACTTCAAAAATTGCATAACAAAAACAATGGTCTGACATAATAATCTCACATTTGTTTTGTAGTCACGTGACTTTTCTAATGAACTCCGTAATAGTTCAAAAGCGTCAAAGAGCAGCACACCATTGTTTGAGGGTCCTGCCAGTGCAAACCAGCCTGCAAGTATTACAGATAGTCCTGCAGATGCATACTCCAAGATGATTACTGTTTTCATTCCACTTCTTGTAGATGAGGTTGTTCTGTATTTCATTGAATTATTTTTGTTAAGACTTAATAATATTAGTATCCTAACGACACTATTCATGAATATCTGCGACTAGAGCTCATTCCTTGCACATTTTATGTGCTTCAAGTTTCCGTGACTTTCTCAATCTGATGCTTCAAGTAGCAATCCTAATGCTGAATCAACTAGTACTTCGTCGGTTGCATTAGAAGCTTCTGCAAGCATTGGCAAAACAAGTAATATAAACCACCACCTCCCAAGTTAAACAGTATTTTTGGAGTGAATGTATTGATTTTCTTCCTTTCAGAAAAGTGTAAAAGTTAATATTTTTCCAGGTAACAATCCAGCCGAGCTGGGAGCGCTAAATGAATGCCTTCAGGAGTTGCTTGATGGTATTCAGGTTGACCTTATTAGTTTTCCTCACATATTGCATATAAATGCCGATGAGCCAAAAGCTGAATTAACAACATTTTGGACTGTACTGTTGAAACATCACTTGTTTTATATGGTTCCTTCTCAGGAGGACTTTTATACTTTGGTTGACTGGGCATTCAAGCTAGATCCACTGAGTTGCATATCTATGCACGGAATAACAGATCGGTATCTTTCTGGTCAGAAAGCAGAGGTCTCCGGATATGTACAAGTGTTG